AAAAAAAAAAAAAAAAAAAAAAGAATAGAGGAGGAGAGGTAGTGGGAGTTAAGTATAAATTGTGCTAATTTGCCTGTCTGTCATGACAGGGATCAAGAGATAGCATCTCAAGTAGAAATACATAATTTTAAAAGAAGATCCAAACCTTAATATGTTTCATGATCAGTTTTTCCCCATAATTTTAAAGGAATAATATTTCAAAATTACAGAGAAACAGACTTCCCTGCTGGTCCCGTGGTTAAGACTCTGAGCAGTGGTTAAGGCTCTGCGCTTCTACTGCAGTGGGTGCGGGTTTGATCCCTGGTCGGGGAACTAAGATCCTGCATGCCACACATAGCGTAGCCAAAAATAAAATAAAATTACAGAGAAACACTTTTTTTTTTTTGGCTGTGCCTCGTGGCATGCAGGATCCTAATTCCCCGACCAGGGATCGAACCTGTGCCCCCTGCAACCCGCGCCCCCTGCATTGGAAGTGCAGAGTCAACCACTGGACTGCCAGGGGAGTTCCCATTTTTTCTATTTTTGATCATAAAATACTACATGCTCATTATAGGAAAAATCAAGAGTAGAGAAGAGCACAGAGAAGAAACTAAAGATACCCAATATTTTGTTGTATATTCTCCCAGTCTTATTTCTCGGCATAAATGTTTTTCTGATACAAAAATGGGATCACAGCATACATGCCCTTATTGTCCTCTTTGCCCTACTTGTGATACTGGAGCTGGACCCTGGAAACAGTTCCCTTTTGTTGGCTGGCTTTGTCAATAGAGGGTGCTGGAGGAACACTGTAAGCCACACAAAGAGAAAGGGGTTTCTCTTGGTACTTTTGAGCTGTTTTGTCTTTTGGTGGGGCCCCCAAATCAACATAAGGGTGGCTTGATGGGGTAGACCAACCAGCTCTGGCCTACCCAACCCTCCAGTGAGTTTTTCCACTACCCAGCAGGCCTTTCCTATGGATTACCTCTAGCCTGCCTGCACCCTTCAGTGAATTTCTCTGTCATTTGGCAGGCCATGCCAATAGACATGCCCTCTGACAAATTTCTTTACACCAGCAGGCTGTGTTTCTTTGGCAACCACACCTCATCCAAAAAAGTCTGAATCTCTGCTTTGGGGTCGGGGGGAGCCCTCTTCTAAATTTGTGCTTCCTTCCTTGTTTACTTCTCCTTAGTCCTAGAGGTAAGACGGCTTCCTGCGTTATCTATTTCTAAACTCCTTAGTGTTTTCTTTAGATCCTTTTAGTAGTTAGCTACCTTTACCGGTTAAATATTCTTTATATTAAATGTCCCTTGTTTAAACTACTGGTATAGTTTTTGTCTCCTGACTGGATCCTGACCGATACAGATACATATTATCATTTCATTTTAGATCTAGAACAAAGTGAAGATGAAACAAGAAGAATAGGAAGGGGGCTAAGAAAGAGGAAACAAAAATTTGTTTAGAAATAGTGCTAAAAGGACTCCTCTCTGTAAGAATCATTAGGGTCAACCTTTACCACAGGCATAGGTATGGTAAAGTACCCAGTCCTTAGTCCCACACAGCATTCCCTGCAGAGATGAATGGCATTCTCTGCTCAACATTTTCATCCAATTCCATAGGTGAAAGGAATAGGGAATAATTTAAGGAACTCTTTGCCTCAGAGGATGTCCGGAGAAGGGTACAGTATCTGAAACATAGGCTTGATCAGAGATGAGTCCTCCCCTACAATCCAATCCAGCTGAGCTCAGAGCTTCTGGGAAAAGGGCATTGTTATTTCATATCATTCACTGATATGTTCACCTAACTTACATTAACTAAGCACCCACCATATTCCAGACACTGTACTAGGTACTGGCAATACAAAGGTGAACATCCCTGCCCTCAAGGAACTTACAGTTCAATGAAGGGAGATATATGTGTAAATGGACAAGAAGATAGTGTGGCCAGTGCTGGAATAAGGTGAGCACTGTCCAGTATGGGAGAACCTGAATCAATGAAACATGGTAACTGCAAGTGGGGGAAGAAAGGAGTCAAGAATGACTTTCAGTTTTCTGGCTTAGGCAATGGGTGGGATATGGTGCTGTTTATGAAGACAGGGGTCAGAGAAGGAAGAGTAGTTTTGGAGGGTGGGAGACTAGGTCCAAAGATCTGAAGATGAGTTGAGTTTTTCATCATCTCTTGGTTTCTAACAGGAACCAAGCTCAGAGAAAGGCAAGGAGTTGTCAACTCCACAGATTAGGCTAGACGCCCTTCAACAAAGAGCAGAAGCATCTTATCTTGTCTCCAAGAGTCAAAGCCATTGGGAATCCTTAATCCTCCAATTCCACTGAGCTCTTTAAAACCTTTTCTTGTTTTTTGCTTTTCAACTGAAACTCAGAGAATTCGGGGTGTATAGAGTCTAAGTTAGAGGACAGAACCCCTACTCGGTGAGACCAGCTCTGTCTCTTCCTCTAGTATCTCTGCCATGCAGGGATTCCACTAATTGTGGACCTGAGGCCCAGCATCCTTTTGCGATTCATTCACAGCCACATCCTGCAACATCTTGAATTCCTGAAACAGAAGTTCCTGTTATGCAACTATCCAATAAGGAGTTGGCAGCAGATACTCCATAGCTTCCCTTTCCTTTTTAAATCCCTACTACTTCCTGCATTCCCTTTGTCTCAGTAGATAATCTTGCCTCTCGCTTTAAAAATATGTGAGACCATGTGGTAAATATCACCTCACGTTCCTCTCTCTTTTCAATGACTCCTCATCTTTACTGTATTTTGTCTCTTCCATTCTCTAGTATTTATTGCTCTTTAACTGAGCCCCTATGATGGGCCAAGCACCATGCTAGGTGGTCAGAATACAATGAGGACAGAGTCCCTGCCCTTGACTAGCGTGTGGTGTCAATTAAATGTGTTAAATACACAATAAGGGTAAGTGTGGGTGCCGTGGGACCACAACCTGAGGGGGGTGGGATGGGTGAGGAAACTTCCTGAAGGAAGCAGCTTCTAAGGCGAGGCCTGAAAGACAATTTGAGATAACTAGACTAAAAGAAGAAGGAAGGGCTTTTCAGATTGAGGCTGAAGCATGTACAAAGGCCAGGAGGTGAGAGAAGCTACGATGTGCTCACGGATGCACCATATGACTGAAGCCCAGAATACAGACAGTAAACGATGAAGCTGGGGAAGCGGCGGTCAAACCATGGAGGGCCGTGTATCCCAGGCTAAGAAGCTTGGACTTTCTCCTGAAGGCAGTGGGGAACCCCGGAAGGGGTTAAAGCAGGAGAATGACATAATTAGATTTATCTTTTTAAAAGACTGCTCTGACAGCTTTATGGAGAACAGACTAGAGGGTGCAAGGCTGAAAGCTGGGATATTGCTTAGGAAACTACAGCAGAATCTATGATGGAGACAGTGAGGGCCTCATCACTGACAGTGAGTTACTGGGACTGGAGACATTTTAAAGTATATTAAAGAAGCAAAAACAGGGAGAATCGGTGCTGTCCTAATGGAAGGTGTGAGGGAAAACAGAAGGCATTAAGGATGACACCCAAGTTTCTAGCTCAGACAACTGCCTAAGCTGGGTAGTGGGACCGAAAGAGTGGCGTTGAGGGGGAGGAGGTGGTGAATTCCACTTCAGACATGTTGTATTTGACGTACCTATGTGGTATCCAGGAGAAAACTTCTGAGAAGCCAATGAATCAGTGGGTCAGGAACACAGGAGGAAAATCTAGAATGGACACACAGATTTTGGAATCATCAGCATATAAGTAGTATCTAAAGCAGAAAAGTGACACTGGCGATTACAGCTCGGAGGCAGCTTAGAGTTCTGAACACAAGCAGGGCTTTGGAAGCAAGCAGAACCAAATTAGAATCCCAGCTTCTTAATCTCCCTCAACTATCATTTCTGCAAATGTAAAGCAGAAATACCACTGATTCCAAAGTGTTATTGTACACATTTTAAAAAACCCACCCCAGGAATTCCCTGGTCGTCCAGTGGTTAGCACTCGGCACTTCCACTGCCGTGGCCTGGGCTGGGGAACTAAGATCCGCAAGCCACGCGGCACGGCAAAAACAAACAACAACAACAAAAAACAACCCCCCCCAAAAAAAACCCCACCCCAATGTATATAAAGCCACACACCTCTACAGTGTAAGCCTCCCAAAAGTGTAAGCTCTATGGGGATGGGGGTCTTTGTTCTGTACAGTGTTGGAACAGTACCTGGACCATAGTGGGTGCTCAATTAAAAATCATTGAATAGGGGTTTTCCTGGTGGCACAGTGGTTAAGAATCTGCCTGCCAGTGCAGGGGACATGGGTTCGAGTCCTGGTCCGGGAAGATCCCACATGCTGCGGAGCAACTAAGCCCGTGTACCACAACTACTGAGCCTGCGCTCTAGAG